CAAAAACTGGTCAATGTCTTATGCTTTTAACAATTATATAATCATAATATGCTATCGCAATACTTGCTAACGGTTGTTAACAAAACTGTATCGCCGTGAGGTCTGCGTGACCGCCCTGTGCTGGCCTGTGGCACAGTCAGATGGAGAAAATTCCAATCGTGGGCTGATAAAGACGCCAGCAGTTATAAAACCCCGTCAGTCGTCGGCGGCTTTGATAGCCGAAATGTTACGATTATGAGGGTCCAGAAGGGGAGTGCAGGGTTGACGTTTATTTTATGTGTGTCGGCTTCAAATATAACAATATGACTATTTATAGGTATTGCAGCATTTTATCACACCTGAGTCCCGATCCAAAGCATTCGTAGCGCTATGACATTCGTAAGCCTATCGTAAACTATAGACTTACGACAGGTCGTAACTTTACGAACGCTTTGTGGATCGGGACCCTGTTCTTTCGTGATACATAGTGTTTACGTGTTACGTAAATAAAGCACATCAAGAAAGCCTATGGTAAATTATAGGCTTACGACAGGTCGTAACTTTGCGAACGGTTTGTGGATCGGGAATTTGTTCTTTCGTGATACATAGGGTTTATGTTGACTTCCCGCGTTGTCTGACTCCGCAGTGATTACCAACTTCCGGAAACATGTCACGTGCTACGTAAAACAAGTTCATCAAGCTACGTTTTAATTGTGAAAGATTTAAAAGAAGAGAGCAAATAAAAAAGAACAAAAAGAGAACTAGTGGATGTCGTTTTATCGTCATCTATGCCAAGAATGGGCTTAGATATAATGGTTATTCCGCCAGATTTAGAGTCTTATCCACTCGATCACCTACTCAGTTTCCAACCCGGTTACTCTCTCATCCACCCAGTTCTCACTCATTCACTCTCCCACACACTCGTTCACCCAATCACTCACTCACTTTCACCTGTTGTCACAGTCCGAGCTTTCACTGCCCTCCTCTAACAGCGCCACCACACGGCAACCGATCTACACTCACCATCAATCGGGTGAACGGACCCCTATCAGGAGCCTCATCCTATATTGATTTCGGGTGGAATTATTATATGGTCTCAATAGGACGGGAGCCATTTCATGCGCTCCAAAATCACTTGCTTGGATCCACAACTGGGATGGAAATAATGGAGAGTGATTTGCTTTATCAAAGTTCATAAACGTGGGTGATAAAAGACGCCATTATGAACGGAGCCTCTACATCACACGGAATCGGCACTAGCCACAACCAGAAGTAGATATAGAATTGAAAGTCGACTATTCAAAATTTCTTGGTAATATTTTTCTCGGCTTTCAATAATCCATTAACGATGGAATAGGTTAATTCATGTGACCTTACTGAACTCTATTCTGGATATTTCTCGGTTCATGGCAGTGTGTCGCTCAAAGAGTGATCAAATAATGGCACGTGGATTCTTGTATCGCCGTTTGAAAGTTGAACATTTCATACAAAAATTAATTCGTAACATATTGTTTTATTTCTATCAACATTTTATTTAATCAATCCTAAGTCTAATATTTTAAATTTTGCAATTTTATTTTCATTTTGTAGTTTTAAGTGGGAAGTGGACATATTAACGGGAAATTATTTACAATCTTCAGATACGTGTCTAAGGTTATCGATTCATTTTTATCTTATCGAAATTTTCAACCATTTGGACAGTTTAACACGCGTTCCCGTGTGAAGAATATGTTCGTTTTTTCAATGCAATATTTAATCATTTGATTAAACAGTAAAATGCATATAAAGTTAACAATAATCAGTAGCGTTATAATCCTTTTACTGGGGCAAATGAAAATGAAATCATTACTGAAGCGATTTGATATGTGAAATATGAAAACATTAACACTTGTTTCACTTCCACCTCATGTGCTCGTCACAATAATTATCAGAATTGATATAAGATCGATTTCTCCTTTCAACCAGTACCTAAAGGTAAGGCACACAGGCGGGTCGACTTTGGATATATTTGACTGGTGTTTAAACACACTTATCACACTCGTATATAAACTGGTTATATTACGGTGGCATCTCTACCATAAATAAATAGGCCTACCATCAATGGTCCGGACGGAGGCGCTTCGAGTGCAAATGAGAGAGATATATAATGTGTATTTCAGTCTCACTTTCTGTACATTGCCATATAATACAAACATTTTGGTGATGTTTAAAAGTACAGAAAGCACCTGTAAGGTTATGAGAGACCAACATGATCAACATACAATATGCACACATATACGAACGTATACATTTTAAGTTAGCTGAACAAGTACAGGTATGTATACATGTATAACATACATACAACAGACATACATACAAACATACTTACACACACGTACATACTAATACACAGACATACACACAAACACATACACACACACACATACAAACGCACGCACATACTGCACGCGCACACATACACGTGCCTACCTAATGTACGCATTAATAAAAGACGGATTAAGGAATCAGTGTTACGGAACAATCCCCGTATTAGGCATGGTGACGAGTATTGTTCACATAAATCCTACGCCAGGAATGTCCCGTGCTCACGGACCCGTGAAGATCTGGGTTAGAATTGATCTTCAGCAACCCATGTGTCATAAGACACTAACGGGATCGGGTGGTCAGACTCGCTGATTTGGTTGACACATGTTACGGTTTCCCAGTTGGGTAAATCGACATTCATGCTGCTGTCACTGGATTGTCTGGTACAGAATGGATTATGTATAGACCGCCGTTATATAGCTGCAATATTGCTGAGTGCGGCGTTACACAACAACCCAAACCAAACCTTCCCGTGACCACGTGTTGAGGAGTAACGGGGTGTCACTGCACATGAATACCTAATGTCAGTAAGTGAGTAGTGGGTGAGTGAGTGAGTACGTAAAAGTGAGTGAGTATACTACAATGCGTCGTCGCATCCGTACTATTTTATCCAAACAGCGAAGAGACCAAGTTTACAAACATACGTAATTTAGTGAGTCAGTTTAGTTTAACCCGCTTTTATCAATATTCCAGCAATATCAAGGGTGGGGACACCAAAAATTGATTGATTGATCATTAACAGTTTAATAGGTGTTCGGGCAACTAGGCCCATTTACACCTTGCCCATCCTAAAGGTTTGCTAAGTTTCTGAAAAATCATAAAGTAGCAAAGCTGCCACACGCTTTAATATAAGCAAGAATTATATTCTGAACTTCATGACAAACGATATTCCTTGAACATAATGGTCCAGCCAATGTGCCCAAGTGGGGAATCGAACCCGGGTTTTCGGCGTGACGAGCGAACGCTGTAACCACTAGGCTACCCTACTGCCCTACACATAAATGAAGTCACGTCCTGGTAATCAAAAACACAGAGCTAACACCAGTATACTCTCTCTAATTACATGCCTGTAAGCCGACAGTAAATGGTAAACCCTTTGTCCGGATTACTAGGCGAGTGTGAAGAAAAGACATTTACAGCGCGGAACATTATATCAATCCGCACATCAACGTCTCCCAGGGTTTGACGGTGTAAGAAAACAATCGGGTATTTTAAACAACGTCTTTTCTCTGTCCGTGGCTTTTTTTAACTGTCCTGGGAGGTATTGGGTCTCATCTTACTGAATACGAGAGCACAGGGAAATGGGCATTAAGTGATCACGCTGTTTTACGGGAGCATGTCTTCGTCAACATAAAACCGCAAACTTTTGTCCACGACGATAAAAGTAATTTGCGAATCTCAAAGGTCGTGGCTGTTTTATTGCTGAAAGTGGTATTAGGAAACTGGTGTGATGTCTCGTTTTTATACAAGGTAGTAAATTGTTTGTGATGTACTAGTCGTGGATATGTGCGCTATATAAATATCCCATAATAATAAAAAAGAATTAGTTGTATGATAATTCGCATGAAAGACTGTATGCACTATTTAAATTCAATAATATGATTCTGCTCATCTACGTATGAGCCAGTCACATGGCTTCTGAATAGGAACAAAATACATATCTGAGATATACTTTCTGATAACCCATAAGGCAATAATGCTCTGTTATATATGCTGAAAACTTCAAAGGCAAGATAATGAAGGTTTAATTCTCTCTTGTTTGACAATGTTATAAGGAATTGTACTGAAACGTCTCATAAGAGAAAACAGAAGTTGTCATCCAAAACATATCCTGCCTTCACAGTTACTTACCAACTTCTAAAATGCCAATCAAGCTGATTACTCCTTTATGAGAATAATATCTAAATTGATTATTGTATAATAGTCAAAAAGAATATTGTCTTCCCTCACACCACAATTAAATGGGAAATCAATGGTGTCACATTAACATTAGGAAAGCTCACACAGAGAACTACCAAGTGGGTTTATGGGGCACTGAACCAAACTATCCCTGGTAAATATCAGTACAAGCAGTGAGGTGGATATTCGCCTTTTACTAGGAGTCCATAAGCTTGGGATAACTACGTGTCGGTTCAACTGTGGCAATTTGATTGTGTACATAATGATAGTCTGGTGATAGCACCAATGGACCCCCGCAAAGTCTGGCTGAGTCACCCAGTTCCCAAATCACTGCCGCGACATGACCGAGTCTTTATCAGTTGGCAAACAATAGATTCAGCGACGAAGTTCAACAAATATCCAAGCCAGGGTGTAAACGGATGTTAATACCTCAGTAACACATTTGCACAATACCGACTAGAGTGTTATGGGGTGATAGCCGACTTACTTATACACCGCGAGTTGACTTCATGAGTGCAGTCAATCGCCTCTGATTAAATAATGTGTTTACATCTGTTTGAGATGGAATGATGATACACACACGTACATATGCATATATATAAAATACATTCATATGAGTAATATAATTATATTATATGATTTTATAATGATTATAAGCAGCGCACACACACACACACGAGCTGTTCTGCAGTGTACAATTTCAAGCTAGTGTGACTGCTGGACGTTGTTTACTGAATCAGGTGTATTTTATGACTTACCTGTGAAAGTGGAACTTGTAAATATCCGAACAATCTTGGAACTGAGGGCTGGTAAATCATCCAAACAGCCAACAAGGACCCGATCCTTTTTTTCCTGTATTTCATCTGGAATTTCAGAGAGAGGAGTTCCCTCTAGCAGGTCGTGCTGTTCCGCCATGGTGTTTAATCAACTTGTCTCCGTCTCCAGGCTCACTTAACCGTATTGTTAAACATGGTCATCCCATTGTCAAAGAAACTCCAAATCTAAAAAAAATCAGCGATTTCTTCCTGGCGTTACACAGGCTGCATACCTCCCTCGCGACGTCAAGTGACCGACTCGCGATAGCAGGATCGGTAGCGAACCTCCCGTCCCGGTAAAGGGGCGATTATCCGATTAGAGCATTAACGTAAGATTGTTAGAGGTAGTCTGTGTTAGAGTTAGAGAAACAATGGGGTTTAGGAACGAGGCGTTAAAAGGAGGTGTAGAAGAGGGCTTTGCCACACCCGGCTACTGGCGTTTCCTCCGTTAGACCGCTTCAACGTAATGGGTGAAAGCAGTCTTGTTAATTAAGCAAACTACCCGGCCGCGTTTCACGGACCCGTTGCTCACTTGCATTTAGCCCTGTTTGTGTTCTCGCCTCTCTCATAACGTCGATGGTGTGTATAATTACGACGAATCAATATCCTGGTTGTTATACCAACACAATTTACATTCGTCGCCAAAACGGTTCAATCCCTGCGCGGGTGTTGGGGACATTAAGAAATCACGTGGATTTCTCCCGGGGGTGCTGCCAGCCATTGGCAGTGGTGGTGGTGTGAAGGGAGAATATTTAAATGGTTGCTGATGTGAGTGTGTCGAGGATGTTACGAGGCATTTAATTACACCTGCACCCATAATAAACACATCAACAGTAATAAGCTTTATTGATAATAGTAACCGCAACTGATGAATACCTTTTTGATTGGAATATCACCAGCTTTCTTCTGTAAATCTGTCACTTGGGGACAGTGTTGTGGAACAGGTTCGGGTGTGATTTGAGCGCTGGTGTGCGTGTGGATGTGGGTGTAGATTTGGGTGTGGATGTGGATGTGGATTTGGGTGTGGTTGTGGGTGTAGATTTGGGTGTGGATGTGGATTTGGGTGAGGTTGTGGGTGTAGATTTGGGTGTGGATGTGGATTCGGGTGTGGTTGTGGTGTAGATTTGGGTGTGGATGTGGGTGTAGATTTGGGTGTGGATGTGGATTTGGGTGTGGTTGTGGTGTAGATTTGGGTGTGGATGTGGATTTGGGTGTGGTTGTGGGTGTAGATTTGGGTGTGGATGTGGATTTGGGTGTGGTTGTGGTGTAGATTTGGGTGTGGATGTGGATTTGGGTGTGGTTGTGGGTGCAGATTTGGGTGTGGATGTGGATTTGGGTGTGGTTGTGGGTGTAGATTTGGGTGTGGATGTGGATTTGGGTGTGGTTGTGGTGTAGATTTGGGTGTGGATGTGGGTGTAGATTTGGGTGTGGATGTGGATTTGGGTGTAGATTTGGGTGTGGATTTGGGTGTGGTTGTGGGTGTAGATTTGGGTGTGGAATCGGATTCGGTTGTGGTTGTGGGTGTAGATTTGGGTGTGGATTTGGGTGTGGTTGTTGGTGTAGATTTGGGTGTGGATGTGAATTCGGATGTGGTTGTGGGTGTAGATTTGGATGTGGATTTCGGTGTGGTTGTGGGTGTAGATTTGGGTGTGGATGTAAATTTGGGTGTGGATGTGGATTCGGGTGTGAATGTGGATTCGGGTGTGGATGTGGATGTAGATTTGGGTGTGGATGTGGATTCGGGTGTGGTTGTGGATGTGGTTGTGGTTGTGGGTGTAGATTTGGGTGTGGATGTGGTTGTGGATTCGGGTGTGGTTGTGGGTGTAGATTTGGGTGTGGATGTGGATTTGGGGGTGGATGTGGGTGTAGATTTGGGTGTGATTGTGGGTGTAGATTTGGGTGTGGAGGTGGGTGTGGGTGTAGATTTGGGGGTGGATGTGGATGCGGGTGTGGGTGTAGATTTGACCGTGGATATGGATTCGGGTGTGGGTGTGGATTTGAGGGGGGTGGTTGTGAGGGAGTGAGTGGTGGGTTGTGATTTGAGCGCTGGTGTGGTTGTGGTTTGTGATTGTGGTTGTGGTTGTGAGGGAGTGGGTCGGGGGTTGTGGATGTGGGTGTTGGTGTTGGTGGGAACTGAGTGAAGATGTATATTTCGGTTTGGTGTGGATTTGGGTCAACGAAGGGGGTGGATTTAGGTGAGGATGCGAATCTGTGTATGGATGTGGGTGAAGGTGTATATAGGTGGAGTGTGGATTTGTGTACAGGTGTTGTTGAAGGTGTGGTTTAGGGTACGATGTGGGTATGTGAACGTTTGTTTTGATTTGTGTAGTTGCACCTGTACTTTCAGGATGGATTTGGCCCCGTGGCCATTGGGCAATCTCCTGGAACTCGGTCTCCATTTGTAACATAACTATAGACTACCACAGACTTACACAGGTAAGTGAATTACAGACCAAAGCGACGTTTTACTTATGCACCGATATCACGTTTATGTATATCTGACCTCACCCTCATCCTAACAGTATCCCCTGCGGTGAGATGGAATATATCATTTAATTAGAACCCCACCCGCAAGCCATTTTCTTTAGTCTATGATATAGAAAGTCCGGGCAAAGTACATTGATTGGCAAAGAAGGCAGCGGGGCGGATCCTGCAGTAAGGGACGTTGTCGAACATTGATGGGGATTCCCCATTAGCTATCGCGTGCCTTCCTATTAAGACGACCTGGTCTCGGGCTGAGCTATAATATTACAATGGTATCGTCCTGAGGAAACCCGTGAGAGGCTTTAGTGAACAGATTGCCCTTCCGATAAGCTTAAATAGTGCTTTTACAGATTACATGTTCTTGAGTAATGTATAGTGTAGACGTTAAACAGTCAGTTGGAAAGTCCAGGAATGCTATAAGGTGTATTGCAGATAGGATCATTATGTGTGAGGGTACAATCATAGTCGTCAATGAGTGAGTTTAGTTTTACGCCGCCTTTAGCAACATTCTAGCAATATCACGGCGTGGGACACCAGAAATGGGCTTTACACATTGTACTCATGTGGGGAATCGAACCCGGGTCGGAAGAGCGAAAGCTTTAAAATAGACCCTACCCTAGTACTCTATAAAAGGATCTCGCTTAGAAACAGCGTTAGAAAGACATATAGGTGTATAGACCCTACCCTAGTACTTTATAGAAGGATCCTTTACCCTAGTACTTTATAGAAGGATCCTTTTATATAGTACAAGGGTAGGGTCTGTACACCTATATGTCTTTCTAACGCTGTTTCTAAGCGAGACGGGCGGTGGGGTAGCCTAGTGGTTAAAGCGTTGGCTCGTCACACCGAAGACCAGGGTTCGAATCCCCACATGGGTACAATGTGTGAAGCCCATTTCTGGTGTCCCCCGCCGTGATGTTGCTGGAATATTGCTAGAAGAGGCGTAAAACCAAACTCAGTCAGTCAGTCTAAGCGAGACACGCCCCTGTGCACTAGACTACCCCACCGCCCCTCATAGTCGTCAAGCACGGACTGACAGTGGACACGGTTACCGGGAATATAACAAGTCGCCGGTTTGCAAAGTTGGGCCCTTAGAGGTGCGAGGATCGTTGATTTGAAGTTAAGATTCAAACTCATATTAGAATGAGTGAGGACATCTGACCGGTATCATCTTTACTGTTTCCGACCGAAAAACAAATTGCTTCAAAAATTTGTCTTTCTTGCACAATCCGAGCTTGGCGCTGTCTCCGATTCGCCTCCACCCCGCGATTCCCTGTTAGATAAGGACACCACGTTGAATCGATCCAGTTGTCAGACTCTTTGGCTTAGTGTATTGGGCGGTTCATCACACCACGCAGTTAGTCATGGCATCAATCACCGGTTTGTGTGGTCTAAACTCACCCGGACAATATTCTGCTATCTGGCTGGTATATTTCTGCGTACTGCGACAACATGGGACTCCAGACTGGAATTCTTGCCTGTATCTATGCAAGATCCAACTGGTGGCCTGATGGCTTTTCTTGTCGTCAATGTGGATGGATAGTTTCATCATATTTTGACAATGGCACCACTCCTGTACTTCCCCAGGAAAAACACTGTCGAGTGTGTGATCATTAGATGTTCCATTTACACACCCGTAATCCAAAACATACTCCGTAAAGCGAGTGATTGTAGGTTACTTCACTCACTCTGGAAATACTGAGTGAGTGAGTTTAGTTTTACGCCGCACTCAGCAATATTCCAGCTATATGGCGGGGAAATACTCAGTGCATGTTAAACAAGTTGACCATCACCCTGTCCGACTAAGCAAAGAAAAAGTCTGTCGCAGCAGAGGACTGACAAAACATTTTATAACAAACACTCGTAGTGAGGGAGCATTTCAGTTACATCAGGGGCGCCTGCTTGGCCCGAAATGTCTCACGTGTTTACCACGAGCACGGTGATTACTAGGGTTGGGTATCGCCAAAATTTTCGTATCGCGATAAATTGGGATATGTGTTGGCGTATTGCAATATGTATTGCAATATATTGTGAAAGTGTAACACATGGGTTAAAATAATAAAATTACTATTTCCTTTCTTTTGAAACAATGCCACTGGCCACTGTCAGGACTCAGATGTGATTGTACAAGAGATCAATTGAAAATGTTTCCAAATCGAAGGCTTCGCTCTAAAGTTTGGAACTCGAGAAAAAGCATTTGCAGCGGCGTCCGCCATGTTGGTTTGTTTATCCCTATGAGTGACGGTAATAATCTATTTTTTCTATGTATAGGGTTTACAAGTCAGGCAAAAGCAATTATATGACCAATAAACATTCTCAAAACTATTAATGTATAATAATATAAAGGAAATACAAATGTTATTAGTAGTTGTGACTACATCACGAAAATTACCGATCGGGAGAACAGGTTCGCGAAAGGTGTACCGCAATATATCGTATTGTGAAGTTCGAATTGCAATATACCGGTTAACCGGTATTATCGCCCACCCCTAGTGATTACGATTAAGAAAAAGGAAAATCTGGACTTGGTGTAGCATATTCAGACAGGTCATCACATGGCATGCCCCGACTGTTCCCGAGGTCAGCAGGTCCACGATCGTATACTTGTTGACGATTCCGTGTCGAGATTTCAGGTGGAGGGGAAAACAAAATATATACTTTGTGAATATTTAATCTTGACACAATGACACGGGAATATATACATACATAAACCTCCAATAAGGCGTCATACGCATCTCCAGGGAGATCGTGAGAAACAAGAGGCAGGCACCGGAATTCTGTGTGTAGAGTTATGTCTGTTTGGCTTTCCAGAAATCTATGGTCGCAGGTTCAAATCCCGATTTCCCCTGATTTTGTTTCTAGTTGTTGTTGTTTTTTCAGGAGCTCGTACGTTTAGCCAAAGCGGTACAAGGATGCGATCTGCATTCGTCGAGTCACTCCGACATCCGACCGCCTCCGTGGTGTAGTGGTTATAGCGTCCGCCCGGAGAGCGGAAGGTCGCGGGTTCGATACCCGACCGCCTCATACCAAAAGACGTTAAAATATGGTACTTGTTGGTTCCTGCCTGGCGCTCGGCATTAATGGGTACAACAAGGACTGGTCGGCTCGGAGTCATTATAATGTGTCTGAGTGGGGTATTCATGCTTCAC